ACCTGAAAGGTCCTTGCGATCTATGTTGGGCTGTGTCATCATGACGATGCTGGGCAATTTTTTGATGTACCGGGACAGAGTTTTAGGGGAATTAAACTATTGCGGCCGAAGGCCGCAAAAAATATTGGAGACCCTTTTTTGCCCCGAGATTTGTCGCGTCCTTGTTCAAGCCGAATCTTTTCGAAAATAGCTCCGATTTCAAAACCGATTTTTGCGTCTGCTCCTCTGGGTTATTGAGCGATGGAATATTTGCATCCATGCAGCAGGCGCGTTGAGTCGTTTATGAACATGTGGATAAAAAATTAGCAGTGTGACTACAACGTCCATCTGCCACACACACCAGACACAAGGCAGCACAACATGGGCTCTCATGCTGCAAAAGAGGGAGCAATTTACAAAAGAGTAGTCAAACACTACCATCTAGGTTGGCTACATTCACAATAAGTTGAAAACATCGTTCGCAAGTTGGACGCAGACTGCTGCAGTTGAGAAAAAAAAATCGGTCCCTTTCCACACGCTAGAGACAATCCTTGCAGTCGCAGAGATCTTTGAAGCGATTCCTCTCGCTCCCGGCCCTGTCCGGTTTTCTTTGATCGTCTCCTGCTGGCACCAAGCAAACTCTACGACTCCATCTATTGCCGCCTTTGTGGAGTGGTTTCCATTTGGGCTTGGCTGGGTTGTGCCCACAGACTTGGCATGACCTGGCCCGCGAGGACGATGCGGTCGGCGCGGGGGCTGGCGGTGGCACGGGCGGCTGGGGATTCCACACCTGGGCGGAGGAAGCGAAACCGATACCTCTGCCAAACGTAGGTCATCCGCTCCCACGTTTTTTTTTTTTTCTGGGGCTCCGTAGAATGCAAGAGGCACTATAGCCCCTCGGTGACACCGTCCAGTTGGGTGTGGCCAGTTGTGGGGCAAACATGGTGATAGCAACACACGCAACAGGCCACGCATGATAGGATTGGGCGAGGCGCGCGAAAGGAGGAGGCTGCCTTGTAGAACATGGAGTGCCGCTGATTATTCGTCAGGTGAGCAAAGCGTCTTCACATTGGTGTGCTTCGGGTTCTTGGTTGCGGCCGAAGCTCTCCCTATAAAAAACATAAACTTGCAACGTTTTGTCTGCTCCTCTCCTTCGTTTTGCGTTTTTGGCCAATGATGCATGTGTACCAAAGCCCTTACAGCCCGGGAGAGGGAGGGGACTCGTTCTGTATTAGACCGTACGGGGCAAGACACAGCTGCTTAGGAATAACTTTGCCTCTCGATCAAGAAATCATTGTCAACATGAATCATTCCCCACTCACGGCGCTGCTAGTGTAGACTATACGTAAGCTTTCCCCCTTGATCGGTTTTCAGCAGCGCAGAGCTCGTATTTGTTGTTTCGCCGACTCCGCCCGGGGCTGCTTCGGCCATCCGAAGTGTGTTGCACTCTCCACCCCCCTTTCGCACCGCCTGTTATTCCCGCTTGCAACAGCAGCAGTAGTTGCGTTGGGTGTGGTTTCGAAAGATCATTTCGGTTTCTGTCTCCATCCCTCTCGTGTCGTCTCCGAGCGTGGAAGCACATGTCAACTCATCATCGCCGGAGCTCTCGCGGTTGTTAGACTCCCTCACCAAGCGGCATCAGCACCAGAGCAGTATGTACTCTTTGCTGCCTGTGGGCGGCTTGCCTGATTCGTGTTTGCTGCGCGTTTACACGTCTGGCTGGTCCATACACCGGAAACCAGGCGGCAGCCAGCACAGCCATCTCCACACGTTGACTGCTGCATGCTGCTGCTGCTGCTGCTGCGGGCCGGCTCTGTTTTATCTCGTTGTGACGGCAGCAGAACTACCGACCAAAGAAACACGTACGGTGACGTGGCTGCTGTCAGCAAAGTAGGCCGGCTACACAGCAGCCGCGGTTGTTCCTCGAGGAGCAGTATATCAAGCGCGGAGTCGCACGCCACCGCTTGCCCTTGCGATTGTGTAGCCGGATTCGCGAGTGCAGCCGTCGCTATCACGGGAAAAGCCGGTGTGTGCGCAAGCTCCCACGACACACATGGATGTTAAATGTATATACCGCCTAAGGCCGTGATGTCGGTTGAACCAGGCGCACATTTTTTTTTTTTTCCGCGCATATGTTGGTTGTAGTTGTACCTTAAGAACCCGCTTCTTGCATGAACATGTAGTGGCGTTGTATCGATTGCTGTGGTAAGTTTGATGTTCCCTCAAAAAGACACCACCAGCGGCGGTGTATCAGGCCAAGTACAACCAGGTAGGACCAACGTTCGTGCCAGCGCACGGGCCTATGGGGCCGATAGTGTGTGTGCTGCCGCCAAAACCCGCGCCCCACACTTGCTCCCCACAGAACGAAAGAAACTCACTTCCGACCCTGCAGGAGTTTCTTTCTCTCGTGAACTATTAGTTGCATCATAATACCTGCTGGAAGCACTATTGTAGTAGTCACCACAACCGTTGGTGTGCATGTATAATACTAGTAGGACGATAAATACGTTTTTCGTCCTTTGGAGTCCTGTGAGGATAATAAACAATTCCTTGGTCACAGACCAGCTTTCCCTACCGAGGGGTATACTGAAAATCAATGGTCCCGAAGGGTCCGCAAGCCAACAGAAATCAACGACAGATAGTCTGGAACACTCCGCTCGCCTCTTGACGCTATAAGGTGACGATAAACTACAATATTAGCATGTTTTGTGAATCCCTTTGACGCGATAAAATATCTCAGGCAGGAATCGCAGGAGGGGGTCCAACCCCCCCCCTCCTATGTGACCCCGGTTGGGTCGTCTAGCTGGTAGAAGTGGAGGATAGGGGCCAGAGGGGCAGGCGATAGAGTCCAATGATGGAAGAAAAAAAAGAAAAACAACTAAAGTCATTGCTCATATATCCCGGACTCTTCATCTGTGGAAGAGATGAATTAATCTGACATGGTTTGGAAGAGACGTGGTTTGTAAGAGAGAAGAGAAAAATAGCTAAGGTGATTTTCTACTTAATGTGAACAGTGCTGAATGGTATGCATACGGTGCCTCTTCGACAAAGACGAGGAGGAACTGCGGTGGTGCTTCGCTAGAAAGAGATGCGTGGTCAATGGTGAACCAACGAAGGATAAAATGAAAAGCTTACCTCCCCCCTCCTCCCTCGCCTCTTTGTTGCGAACTCTCTCTCTCGTAAGGCAGACCGCCAAAAAGACAGCAGTGCTAGAACTCTGGCCCCGAAAAGTAAAGTCCATTTCTTAGATCGGGGGTGTGGGTGGCAGCAGGGGAATCGAGTGGACGAAGCACTGCCATATAGGAGGAGCACCTTTAGGGGTCGCGACGATTCGGGCTCCTATTCCGGACAGGCTCGCGTGATGGGAACGTTCCAATTCTGCAGCAGAGCATAACGCGCAGCGGTATTGCTTGTGTAGGTTCCCTAACTTCCATTCAGTTAGAACACCATGTTCGAGTTCGGGAATCAGCAGGGGCAGCAGCAGCCGGGCGAACGGCAAGCGCTGGCGGCGGCGGGCAATGGTCACAACCCCCCGGCAGGTGCCCGTGAGGGGAGTCTGTCCGTCCAAGACCCGACGGTAATGATCAACGACAGCGGAGCAAATGACGCTGCTGCTGCTGCTGCTGCTGCTGCTGCTGTTGCCGCAAACGAGCCGCTAAGGGTCGGCGCCGGTGCCGGCGGCTTCGACCCGGGTATGGTGGCGGCCGGGTTGCCCAACATGCAGCAGGCGTTTCTGCCTGAGCAGCAGCAGCAGCAGCTTGGCGCTTTCAACATGGTGAGCGGTGGGGCCGGCGTTGGCGTTATGGGTGGTGGCGGAAAAGGCGGGGCTGGGGGCGACCGATTGGACATGGCAGCAAGGCCTGGGGCGCCCTGGGCGGGAGGTGTCGCAACCGGTGTGCACAACCAGCAGCGGCAGCAGCAGCAGCAGCAGCAACTGCTGCTGCTCCAGGGCTTACAGGGGCAGGGACAGCACGCAGCTTCCTCGACACTGCAGCAACATGTGGGTATTTTTCTGGAGTGTGTGTGTAGCATTGATGGCGCTCTCTGACGGGCCAACGAAGAGACTTATAATTGGTCTGTCTCAGTGCAGCGGTTGAAATCATAAAATACCTATGGGCCACGATCTGTGATATCTCCAACCACGATCGCTTTTAGGCGAGGGCACGTCTGCAAAATTCACAATAGCAGTGGCCACTGGGAGATACTTGCCGAATTCAAAAGTATGTATTGCCGATGTATTTTATAGTCGCGCAAGTTCAGAGGGACATCCGGACCAGACCAGGTCACGGATTGTTGACGGCCCCCGGTGGGCCCCCAGGGGAGAACTCTGTGTGGGGTTGGACATGCTTCGCTTTTTTTGTCGAGGGACCGATGTGAACAAGACGGAACCGTGAGTGTCGGTAAGGTTTGCAGTCGTCGGGTGGCAGAACAGCGGCGATGTCGCTGGGCAACTCCCCTCTTCCCGGCAACTCTGAGAGCGCTCGGTACAACGTAGATGGCTTTCCCGTGATCGTCCGGCGTTAATCGTCGCAGAATCAGCCGAGTAGCACAGCACAGCCGCAGCCGAAACAGCTGAACGTTTTTTTATTTCGTGCGTGTGTGTGTACCCTCCGTTCCCGTCCGAATCTTGCAGCAACCGTTGTTGGGACCCTCTGGGTTTCCTTCTGGCGGCATGGCCACGCTCCCTTCCTCCAAAGCCGCGGCGCCGCTGAGCTTCATGCTCCCCGCCGCACAGGTGCGCGCGCAGATGGCGACGCAGTTGAGCCAGCTGGCGCGCCCCTCTTCGAGTGAAGACTCGGGCGTCCTCGGCGCAGGCGGTTTCAGGGGCAGTAGGGAGAGCGTTGGCGGCATTGGCGTCGCCGGTGGTGTCGCCAGTGTTGATGGTATAAGCGTTACTCAGCAGCAGCAGCAGCAGCAGCAGCAGCAGCAGCAGCTGATGCAGCAGATGCTTCAGCGGCAGCAGATCGACCGCCTTCAGCAGCAGCATCACCACCAACTCCTGCAGCAGCAGCAGCAGCAGCAGCAGCAGCAGCAGGGTCTAGTCCCGACCCAGGCGTCAACACCACTGGCCGAGGAGAACACGTTCCTGGAGGCGCGCCGTCGCATGATGGGAATACCGGAGAACCCCGCCAACCAAGCCGTATCGGCGCCCGCCGGTGCCGCTCGTGCCACAGACTCAGCCTCGACCCAACAACTGGCCTCGCGCTCACTACCCGGCGCCTCTGAGACCTCCGCCGCCGAGGGCAACAAGTCCCCACCCCAGCACGTTATCGCTCCTGGTCGTGAAGGCGGCGGGGTTCTAGGCTCCGGCGACGTCGGCGTGGGACGCTCTGATGTCCATACCAACGGCGGAGGAGGAGGAGGAGGAGGAGGAGGAGGCGCAAGAAGAAGAGGTGGCGCACCTGTTGGGAAAAGGGGAGAGGGTCAGGCGGGCGGTGGCGGGGCGGCGGGGCCGCAACGGAAACGGCCACGGCAACAACAACGATCGGGGCCTCCGGGACGGGCAACGGTCGGCGTCAGTGGCAGTAGCAGCGGCGGTAGCTCGGAGCGGACAATACCCCAGCAGCACGAGCCGCCAGCAGCTCTCACGGCCGCTTTTACTGCCGCTGCGGCGGCCGCTACTCGTGGTGGCGGTGGCGCCGCCGCCGCCGCCGCTAGCAAAGAGCTTCTCTCGCTGCCAACAGCGGAAGCGGGGACAACAGACGCGAGCGCGGCGCCGATGACCATGACAGCAGCGGTGCCGCCGACGGCAGCAGCAGCAGCTAATGGGGCGCTGGGCCTAGCCGCCACGGTAGCGAGCTTCTACGACGAGCTCCCCGGGAGCGTGGCCGCGCCGAGAGGGGTCGGCGGCGTGCCGGCGGTGTTGCCGTCTCCGATCGCGCCGTCCGCTGTACTGCCGTTGGTGGCCGCGGCCGCCGCGGGTCCCCGTGGGGCGGTCCCGCTTACCGTTGCCGCCGCTCCAACGGGGAGTGGCGCGGGGCCAGGGGGCGGCGGCGGAGGCGTGGATGGCGGTGGCGCCAGGGTGGAAGCTGGGGGAGGGCAGTCGGGGACTGGGGCGGGTGTAGTGGGGGGCGGCCGACCTCCAGGGATTGATTTGTCGCTGACGACCTTGCAGGTGCGAAATTAAGTCCATATAGTCCACACGGGATACTTGCGTGTGTGGGGGAGCTGCTGCAAACTTCAAGACTTGATTTGTATTCCTGGCGACATGAGTATGGTCTGCCTGCAAGCCAGCGGCAAGTTCTCGGGGACTCGAACGTCGTTCTTTTGCTTTCGTCTGGTCTTTGTTTTTCTTTTGCTCGTTCGAGAGTTGAGTGTATTTTTCCAAGAGATGAAGTTGAGCGAATTTTCTCGGCCTTTCCCTCCCCTACGTCGGCACGCGAGCGACGTTGCGTTGTGAGATTGCGCCCCAACTTGTCTTTATCTCTCCTTGCAGTACCTCTCCACTTGCTCAAAGTCCCTAGGTTTGACACGATGTTCTTGCCTCTGTAGTGCATGCGCAACAACAGCTACCTGGAGCCTTGACCATGTTCTCCTCTCCCGCAGATTGCTGGACACCCACCAGGACTACCATCAACGGCGGCGGCGGCAGCACCACGAGGAGGAAGGGTCCCGCAGGGGGGCATCAGTGGGTGGGGGGGATTACCACGCGCGGACGAGACGGCATTAGCCGGGGCGGGCATCGGGGGGGTGGTTGAAACGGGAGGCGGCGGGGCGGAACAGGCCGGGGCCGGGGCCGGGGGAGTTGTGGCGGTCGGAGGCGTTCCTAACCCCCCCGGAGCGGGCGGTGGTAGCAGTCGAGTCGGAATCTCGCAGCGACCCGGGGGGGGGGCGCCGCTGGTTGCGGGGGCGGCGGCGGCGGGAGGGGGGGCGGGTGGCGTGGCTAGCCAGCAGCAGCAGCAGGCCTATATCCAGACCATGCTAGAGGCGCAGGTGCGGCAAAGGCAGCTCGTGGTGCAGCAGCAGCTGCAGCAGCAGCTGCAGAGGCAGGTGGCGCAGACGCACCAGAACCAACTGTTACAGGCTCAGCTGCTGGTCAGCCAGGTACAACAGACGGTAAGCAATGTGTGTGAACGTGCGTGCGTGTGTGTCCTTGTTGGTTGACATTGACAGACGCTGAAATCGGCGGGCCAATCGCTGATTATTAGTCTTGCCGGCGGGGGGGCGCAGGGCGGCGGCGTGCTCTTTTGTTTCCATGCCTTCGCGGTTAGACAATTGACCACGCGTCGTCGAGAGGACGGAGCATTGTTCCCACACAGGACCGATCACCGATAGCCAATAGTCCGTTCCTTCTTTGCCAAAGGTGGTTCGAAAATGTCTTCCATATGTAGTCTGTCTATCCGATCGATATTACTTCCCGCCTTTTCAACCCACTTCCAATGCCCCAGTACAGCTACCGTGTTCTCTTGCATGTTCCATGCCCCAAAACATCTCCCTCTATCTTCCTTCTACTTGTCCCAGCTCAGTCATATACACCTTCCTCTCCTTCTTGTACAACGGATATTCCGCAAATACGTGAACCCGGTCTTCGCACTCGGAGCCGCATTCACATTTTTACTTGTCGTCTTCATCGTCTACCTTCCTAAATGTTCGTCTACGTTGTCGAAGGACAATGTCGACGTTCCTGAATTTGATCTTCGTGCATTCATTGGTCCATGTAGGTACTCCTTGAACCCTATCCCTCCTTTTTAACTTCCGTCCACATGTTGACCCTCCTGATGCTTGGTTGCGTTCGTTAGATTGTTGACTCTCGGCACAAGCAACAGATATCTTCTCCTCGAACTCTCTAGACCTTCCGTTTCCAGCGTATCACCTTCGTCAAATTCGAACTCTTCCATTCGTTCCCTACAACCTTGATCCACTCCGTGGGTTGTCTACCCCTCGTCTTATTTGCCCACTTCGCCTCCCAAGCTGTTCTCGGCAACCTCTCCTCTCTCATACTGCACATGGGGTACTGCCGTTTTAGCTTCCTCACATCTCTTCCCGATCGTAAGGATTGGATCCTCAGTCCTACCCTGACGGCTGCATCACTTGTGCGCTTGGAGCATCCTAGGATGATTTTCGCTGCTTTTGCGCCGCCTCGAGCTCTTGGACTAGTTTCTTATTTCCTTCCCACACTTCTCCGGCATACTATGGCGGCGGTACGATTACGCTCTTCAAACCTGTCAATTTGGATGCGTGTATCGAGGTGCCGGTGTGCGAGTGCAGTATTGGTAGCAGCTTCCCTGCTCGTGCTTCGCGCTTTTCCGCTACCTTGGACATGTGTTCGTTCCACGAGCGGTCAATTGCGATCTCTACTGCGAGGTGTGTGTACTGCTCCACTACTGCAAGCTCCTCGACCCCCCACTTCCATCTATACTCTACTGGTTTCTCCTTGTGCTCGTTGTTTACCATGGCGGCGCTCTTCTTAACGTTGCCAGACAATCTCCACGTAATGTATCAGCACAATCCTTCGCAGCGTCAATCTACAGTTGAAGTCCCTCAGGGGTGTCGTGCTGGGTGACCGTCAGCCGTAAGTGCTTCGCGCGTTTTTGGGTCTTGCATGTTTTTTTTCTGGACGGGGACGCAACTTTTGATGCCCCCCCGCCCCCGACGCACCGTGTAGCGATGGTGCATCTTGCGCAAGTTTGTCCGACTGTAGGAAACAAAGAAAATACTTACCGCTGTGTTTTGCTCTCTCCTGCTCGGGTTTGGTTTTTCGCCTGTTTCTCGCCTGACCAACTTTCGTGGTGGGACAGCTCCGTCATCAGGCTCAGCAGATGAACGCCTTGTTCCAAACCAAGCAGCTGGCCCTCAAGCAGAAGCTACAGTCCGGGCACATCACGCTCAAGCAGGCCCAGCAAGTATCTCAGATGCAGCAGGTGAGCAAATGAAGGTGTGCGTGCAAATAGGAGTTGAGAAGCTTCCCGAAAAGAGCCGAACGTGTCGTGGTCACGTTCCCTTCCCACGAAAAAGGTGTGGGGGGGGTGTACTCATAGTCGTGCATGCCGTAGTCGTTAGACCATTGACCTCGCATCCCTACAAAGCCGGGACGGAGCACGCCGGGT